AGTACTTTGTATTACCCCCCAAAATAGAAGAACGTTTCATAGATTTCGGCATTCTGAGTGCTACAGAAGCAAGTAATATTTTATTTGCAATTATAAACAGCAATCCAATAGAGGTAAAAAAATCTGTTTTTATTTTGTCACATTGAAGGAGTTTATGCTAGCACTGCAATAATCACTTTTCGTATCTTCCTGTTTTTGAAGTTGGCTATAAAAAGTTGGCACATCATAGGAGATGGTTTATCAATAGAGCTCGTAGCCACTGAAAGAGGCAACAGAACTACAATAATCTCCAGGCTTCCAGAGTTAGAAAAGTCCTCTTTATCAGACCAGTCCTCAGTAAGTAAACTCTTTGATTGTTTGCTGAAACTTAGATGTATGTGTAAACCTCAAGTAAAAGACGATTCCTCATAATAGTTTTATGAGATGTGTAATAATAGCACTGGCTGTTTGATGTTGAAAGGACCTTCTAGGTGATCTTCTTCAACCCCTCCTTTTACGACGAGGGCCCTTGAAGCCCAAAGGAGTTGAGCTGTAACACAAGTGTCATCACAGGAGACGTTCCCATAGGTACTGAACCAGCCCTGTGTTCACTGAATTCACTTGGCCAAAGAGAGAGCCCCGCACGTTGGTAGAAGGCGTTTTCACTTACACAGTGGTATTTCCGGCCAGGTCTCTGTACTAACTAGGAGAGAATCTCAGTGAGCCCCACACCTTCTGTTAGACCCTCTGTGGGTCTCCCCGGGTGCTTTTACTCTGTCTTTTATAAATATGTACAGTCGGTCACGTAAGAGCATGAAACAGGAGAAGGTGAATCCATCGGTCTAAGCCTTCCCCACTAGCGAGTTAGGTACCTCCTCGGAACAGAGCTAACAAGAGTCACTTTGTGTGACTTCACAGGAGCGTGATGTGTCTCACCTGTAGGTTAGGACAGACCTTCTTGAGGTAGTTTTACAAAAGGAAAAACAAATGTCCTTATTCACAGAGATCTTTGACACAGATGCTTTCAAGGAGCCCCATAGGTTATAAAAATCGGTTTAACAGTTTGTACTGGAAGGGTCCCCTAAAACGGTTTTTCTAAGGCTCAGTTTGGCGGTGTCTGCCACTCCTGGGAATTCTTCCCATGGAAGCAATTTAAAGAGCCGAAAGCTGTGAGAATGCAGATGATGGTCGTAGCGTTATTAACAATTCCACGTAACTGGAAACAGCCGCAAACACATAAATCATAATTTTATGATTGACTATTGAAGCAAATAAAAAATTGTAAGTATGATTGTGTGTGGAAATTTGGAAAAGGATGTATGAAAAAGTGGGAAACAGCACTAAGGAATGTATAGTCTGTTGCAGTTTTGTGGCGTTCAAGCTACGTTGTCAGGTGTTGGGTATATGGTGTTTACATTTTAATAATTTATAATGTTATAAATTTGATTCATAAATAAAGCCTCCTTTTACAACAAAAAGAGGTATGCCCGTGAAAAGTAGTATTGGTCACTCCATCTGAGATTTTATTTTTAATACAAATCGAATGCTGAAAGAGGTTAATGGACCAGCCATTAATGTGTTCCTTTCAACAGTGAAGTTAGAGTAAAATCATATGCATGTATAATCCCAGATGGTTGAAGTGTACTGTTTTTTAATAAGATGTTATAAGTTGATAATTTGAGGCATCTGGATCATTTCCTCGTATTAAATACTTATTCTTTAAATTTGATAGATCCACTCAATAACATAAAGCCTGCTTGACAATTTAGGTTTTTAGAATTAACTTTTATATAAAACTATATAAATATAAAAATAAGGGACCGAAAGATGAGATCATTGTTAGAACTCTTACTAAAAATAGGAAGTTTTAGTGAGTTGCCAGCTTCAAAATAGCAACTCCAAAAATGTGTTTTTCTTTAAGTTTGTAATGCCTAAATTTTCAACTGTTTTCCAAAAAGAGAAATCTATGAGCTAAATTAGCATCCTGTTCCTTATGAAACATGCAATACCAACAACTCTCTGTGCTCTACATCCCCATGTTCTGACTTGGGTGCTTAGAGTCTTGATGGAGACAATTAGAATTGCACAAAACCAACATAGAAATGCTTCTGAAAAGGGGAAAGTGAGTATGTTGGTATATTGGCATTTATTATTTTGAGGTAGATGTGAATTCTGGATAAATTGTAACTACCAATAACTGAAGCACAACCTTACAAAATGAATTTCATGGTTTTTTTGGAAATTTCATGACTGAAAAGAGTCAATGCCAGAAACATCAGTAAATAGCTGGAGAAAACAAGTAAGGTCCACGTTCGTCTTTTTTTTTTTTCCACATTCGTCTTAATTTCAAATTTTTACTGCTTAACTCTTCCTTCTTTCCATGATTTCTGATGTTCTCATATGACCCAGTCTCAGCTAGTCTGAAGACATGACTGCTAACTTAACAGAGTTAAATTTGGAACTTGAAGCAGAACCAAATTTGTACATACGTCTGCCCTAATGTGACTGAGGGGTCAATAGGAGGCTGTGTCCCTCTGCTCCAGCCCGTACCCTCTTTGACCACGCGGTACCTGGTTGGGGTGTGAGGACCACACCCTTCTCCAGCTTAGCAGCTGGGAATCCGACTGTTCACCAGGGAACCAGTTTTCTCAGTGGCCCATGGAATGAGTATGTGGGTACACATCCAGGATGGGCATTATGTTGAGGTATTTGTGCATGATGACGTGATACTTCAGCGTCACACTGGTATAGGTCAGGATTTTGAAGTCAGTTTATCACTGTAGCTGCCTTTTCCTTTTTAATAGAAAACTTCAACTAACCAGGCTAATGAACGATGTCATTTCTGCTACATACAGGTAATATTAGCTTCAGGCTATTTTGCAGTGTTCAGAGTCAAACTTACTGCAAAAAAACTAGAAGGGATTCATGACGGAGCCATACAGATCACAACAGACTACGAGGTAAGGACTTCATGGGGATTTGTGATTTGTGTCCGTGGAGTTTTTCTATGTAATTCAGTCCTTTTCTGTTTTTATAAAAACAGAGAACTACGTTTACTCATTAAGTTACAGTTTACCACTTCGATGCCTTAAAAACTGAGCTTTTGAGAATAGTTTTCAGAATATTGATGTTCATTATTAGCTCATTAGTTTTCTGATAAAAACCTAAATCTTTTGACTAAAAACAACTTCAGAAAACAGTGTTTGGCACATTTAGAATTGCTGTTAGAAACCTGCTTTACAGGTGGTTAGAGCATTGCACAGACCCTGTCTGAAATTCCCGGGATAGCTGTCTCTCTTTCTGCAGTCATAAATATCCTGTGCAACATTTCCAAAAAGGAAGATACAGTCAGGAAGTCACATCTTAATTTGAGTTCTCACGATTATATTTACATGTGTTGTTCTGAGTCAAGGAGAAAAGAGAAAATGATGGAGCTTCTTAAAGACTCTTTGTGGGGTTTGACATGTTGCATTCAGTGAGATTTTAAAGGGATTCATTTCTGCCAAACCTAAATATTTTGATCTAATATTTCCAAGCTCTTTAGGAACTTGAGCACTGCTGAAGTCAGCAAGTTGCTACCCTTATTTTCCTGCCTATTTTCAGCATATACAACCCCCACAGAAAGAAAACTAATTCAGAATAAACAGAATTGGTCATTTAATAATAAATGATTTGCTGGGAGTATGTCAAATGAATTACCTCCAAAAGTGAGGAACCCACGTTTATCACTCTTGATAGAAATAAGTTCGTTTCCTGTCTTAGAGAAGTGTCTTTGAGTTGCAAACAGTGTGAGGTAAGATCGAAAAGCTAGACTGTTCAACTCATTTTTTTAAATTAGGTTGATGTTAATTTATTGCTATGTACCAAAAAAGAGAGCTTTGTAACTTTAGAAATTGCTGGATTTTTCATACGTTGTTTTAGGAGTACAATTTGAATTTCCTTTTTAAATTAATAATCTTCAAAGTAACCTATATAATGAAAAATCTGTTCTTCGTTCCTTCCCCATTGTTTGGTCTTGTTTACTATGTTTTCAGTGAATCATGAGACGTGCTTGGAAATTTACTGTATTTTTGCATTTTGAGTGGTACATGGATAGATTTTAGACAGTATCCACAGATGATTTTAATTTTTCTTATGAGTTGATTAATGGTAATGTAAGTTCCAAGATTGCTTGTTTTAATCCCACCAAATAATGCAATAACTATCAAGGTCGATCTCAGACTTAAACACTCATTTCTTCACGGTTTGCTTCTTCACTCCACAGATCCTAACGATTCCCGTGAAGGCTGTGATCGCAGTGGGCTCTCTGACTTGCTTCCCGAAGCATATGGTTCTTCCACCTTCCTTTCCAGTAAGACGATTAATTTGTAGTCTTCTTGCTAGTTTTTTTTATCCCTTGCCTTTACCTCTGTGTTCCTAGACTTCAACCATCAAGTCAGTTATTCTTTATTAATTGCTTCTTTTAAGGAAAGACACTGTGCCAGATCCTTTGGAAATACAAAAAGGATTGAAGAATAGTCCCTTCTCTCAAAAAGTTTTCAATCTAGAGTGAGAAATCACCTGTGATTTGTAGGTGTAAAGCAGGGTGTGGACATTGCCCTAAGAGGTGTAAAAATAACGTGAAGAAAATACATTTCTAATTGGCAGAGATGCCAGGTGACTTGGCTTGGAACCTCTGGTGGGGATAGATATGGGGTGGCGAGAACTCACATTCAGGGCCCAGGGACCGACCAACGTGAATAAAGACACAGGCTGTAAGTCTGAGATGGCTTTAGGCGGTAGTGAATTGCCTGGTTTTGCCAGAATGCAGGGGCGTTTCAAGAAAGAAAATGGAAAGGTACCTTGGAGTGATAGCGTGATAAACATTAAATGCATTTAAGTCCATGAAAATCTAAAGTTTTTGAGAAGAGGCTCGACATCATCAGAGCTGAGCTTTGAAGACTGACACTCTGGCAGAAGGAAATATAGGATGCTTATGCGAGTGCCCGGAGGCCACCCAGAGACTGGCCAGAGGCCACCTGAGGAGTGTGGAGACAGGTTTGAGCTTAGAGCATTGGCAGAGGCAGTGAGTCCCTTTCATACCGCTACACCTTTGCTGTTAGTCTGCCCTTCCTCCGCTCCTGCCTCCAAGAACGCCTACACCTCTTTGAAGATCCGATTCCACTGTCATCTCCTCCGGAGATTCCTTGACTCCCCTAGGCAGTACTAGTTATTTCATATGTGATCCTGGAACGATTTGAAATGACCTCTCTTGCAGCAAGCCTCACATTGTGCTGTAAGTATTGCCCTAAGTATTGGTCTCCCCAGCGAGACCCTGAGATCCAGTGGGAAAGGGATGAGGGATCTTTTACCCCCACTCGCAGATATTTCATAGATAATGAGTGGATAAAGGGGCAGAATGATGAAAAAGCGAACACAGATGAGACATTTCAGACAAGTCATTTGCAGTGGCCCCGAGTATCCTGAGGAGCTCGTACTAACCAAAGCAGGCGTGGGTAGCAGGTAGAGGACTCAAAAATATGACTTAGAGTTTGAGCCTGGAGAACAGGGAGAGAAACGGGGAAACCGGGAAGTGGCGTTTTGCAGAAGGATGACGCAGTCAGTTCAGGGCATGTCGGGGCAGATGTAAAAGTGTCTCTGAGCCTATGTTGGGAGGCCTGGTAGGTTAAGAGAAACAGTGCATTGCAAGATCTTAATGCTACGTAGAGTAAAACGTAAATTCAAAATTTAACTCCTTAAAAATACAAATTTGAATGAACGGGTTCAGCACACTTAAGTTTGGATCTTAATCAAATCTTTGTCTTCATGTCATTCTGCTTCACAATGACTATACAGAACTCTTGACTCCATCATTTATCCAAAAGAACCTTCTTACTTCAGTTGCCTTTTCAATCCATGATCTCCTTCATCACTGCATAAATCCTGGAAGGGAATAATTCAGTAGTTGACATAGTGAAAAGCTGGTGGATAGAGTAAATGATAAAGCAGCTATAAAAACAAGGTGTTGGTTTTGAAGTACTTCAGATTAAGCTTTCTGGTATCTTCAGATGGCTTACAGGACCAGATGTTTGCTTGGAACTACAGATTGACTTGATGTTACTGTCTTAGTTGGGCTGCTGTAACAAATTGCCATAGATTGGGTGGCTTACATAGCAGACATTTATTTCCCTGTGAGCTGGGAAGTCCACAGCCAAGGCACTGGTAGGTGTGGTGCATGGTGGGGGCCCGCGTCCTCAGTTTGCAGAGGGGCATCTTCTCACATCCTCACGCAGCCAAAGAGCAGAGAGGGCCAGCAAGCTCGTAGGTCTCTTCTTTTAAGGGCACTAATCCCATTCATGAGGGCTCCTCTCTCATGACCTGCTCATCTCCCAGAGGCCCTGCCTCCTAATGCCATCACTTTGAGGGTTAGGATTTCAACATAGGTGTTTTGGGGAGCACTCAAACATTCAGCCCATAACATTTACCAAATTCTGTAAAATCTGTTATCAGGTAGAGAATGCTAGAGCTAAGGGGTGAAAACAATACTTCAGAATAAACATTTCATTTAAGTCACAGTTTAACACTTCATATTTGAATATCACTATAAAATGAACTTTTGGATCTGTTACCTCTGTTGATCCCCCCCCAACGCCCCTGAGAGACAAGACACGGACACCAGAGTAGTTATGACAGGTACATGAGGGCCAGGTCACTGCCAGGAGGACGCAGCTGGTTAGAGGCCAGCCGGGCCTCTGCTTTCTGCTCCCATGTTCGTCCCATCACCCCGCGACGACTTTCTGCTGTGTTTTACTCTGGTTAGACTGACAGTGATGAGTGATAGTCTGCACCACTCAACTCTTATTACTGTGCGTTCTCTTAATGTCTGTGTCTTTTAATATCAAATATTAGACCAGTCGGTCTAATCATTTTAGAGACTTCTTCAGATGGCTAGGAGTCAGGTTATAAGAAGATGAAATTCTGTATTCAAACGAAAGAAAGTAAAAGATTATAATATAATTCTTGTTAATGCATACAATTTTAAGTAAATATGATTGACTTAAAATTTGGTACCGTCATAGGGAGAGGCATGTAGCTGATAAGAGCAATCACTGGTAATTTAGTGACTTCATCTGTATGCTGTTTTAATATGGTACTTGATAACCTATGTTTTTAAAAGATGTCTAATTTCTCTTTGGAACAAATGGTATTTTTCTTTTATAAAGAAAATACTTTTCTCTAAGGAGAATAAATCTGATTTTTTTGGTCTTGTTTAGCTTTGGATTTTAGAATTCAATTATTTCATCCTGAATTTGGACACTTTTAAGGCAACCTGGCTTTGGTATAAACAAACTTGCTTAACTGACAGTGACCATTTCCTTTATCCAAAACTCTCTGTGCCTTTGTTAGCATGTGAAGACTTTTAATTTAATTCATTTTTATAAAATTACAGAGATTTGTCCTGCTAATTTCTCTGTAACAGGCCATAAAACCAACAACAACAACAAAATATATATATATATGGGAGGGCTGAGTACAAATGATGTATCAACTTCTGAAGATTCTAAATATCTTTGAACTTTGATTTCCTAGAAGTATGTCTGTCAGCTGTAAAATGTGTGTTCTTAAGAAAATTCAACCATTACAAATATTTTGTTTGTTTCTTCCTTCAGGGGAAGATAGTTCATCAAAGTTTAAATATTATGAATTCCTTCTCACAGAAGGTAAAGATACAACAAATACGATCTTTGTCAGAAGATGTACGATTTTACTACAAACGATTACGGGGCAATAAGGAAGACTTGGAACCAGGAAAAAAATCAAAGGTTTGAAAATGTTATAGTTGAGAATTCCCACCCGTTACTATTTTGTGCTCGTGACCGTCTATGGATTTGGGATTCACGGTTCTCCTGTCACTCTTTATAGATTGCAAACATTTATTTTGATCCTGGACTGCAGTGTGGAGATCACTGCTATGTTGGCTTGCCTTTTCTGTCCAAATGTAAGTTATCTTGCCCTTCTCTCTCTCAAGCCCTCCACTCCCTCCCCAAAATACCCTTTTTTGTTTTGTTTTTTTTTTTTTGCCAAACCTCTCAAAATACTCTTTAATGAAAGGCTGCCACTTTTAAAGTCCATCCCTGTCTCCTGATGCTGTAGAAATCATTGGAGGGACTGAGTATGTCGTACCACATGTCTCCTTGTTTTAGCTGAACCCAAAGTGCAGCCTGGGGTAGCCATGCAGGAAGACACGTGGGATGCTGACTGGGATCTGCATCAAAGCCTGTTCAAAGGATGGGCAGGAATAAAGGAAAATTCAGGTCACAGGTAAGTGGTTCTGCTCTGTGTAAGTGTTTTGGCCATCTTTACCAGTTTGAAACATGACTTTCTAAAGTTATCCTTGTGTTAGGTGATTTTACTTTTCTAGAGCTAAGAAAATATGCCTAGTCTTCAGCAAATTATAATGAGGCATCTTGAATTGCCATTGTAATTGTATATTTCTCAGAAGGATGCACACTACCATTTTTCTCTTTTTTCCCAGTGTTCTAGATGCTTCTGTAAGGTCAAAGAAACTATATGAAGTTGTCCTTAAGTAGGGTGACTTCAGTGTTCACCTTAGATACAACCATTTGCATAAGAAAGAAAGTTTCTGCCTACCACTGAGCTCTGTTAAAGGCAAGGAAACCGTCTTCTAGGTTTAACCTCACAGTAGGAGGAGCGTCTCTGCTCCTTGTGAGAACTGCCTCCTCCCTTTCCCAGCGCTGAGCAGCTAGGGTGCGTGGGGCCCAGGTCACACGGGCCCAGCCATGTGTCTCTGGCAGGTAGAAAATGTCCTGATGACAAATCAGTACTGCACCTGGGTCACAAGCAAAGACACACTTATGTGGCAGCACTTTCTGTGTGTTCGGAAGAGCATTTGACTGACGAAGCTGTGACAGCTGCTGAAAACTGCTCTCCATCGGCTGATCTGAAATGTGTTTGTCACTGTGATCGAGATACTCCAGTTTATAGTACTGGGACTTTTTCAAGCCGTTAACAATTAAATCTGCAGGCTTCTGTTTATCTAAAGTATCATCTGCGAAAAGTTTTCTTAAGGCAAAAAAGAATTAAAATTTAACTTCAAAATGGTTAAAATTAGTGCAGAGACTTCATTAGAACTCACTAAGAGAACATTAATTAAAACACAACTTGGGCCCCTACGTTTCCACAACGGACATTACAATTTACAGGTAGTCTCCAAACTCTGACATCCAATTATGGATAAATAACTTGTAGTGCTGCCCCAGGCTCACCTGCCAGGGAACTTCTCCACCTCCCACCCGCCGAAACCACCCCTCCTCAAGCCTTCCTCTCCGTGAGGCCAGCATTCCACCACTAAAGACCCAGCCTCCCTACCTGCCCTCTGCCAGCATGTCCCAGTTGCACAGTGAATGTGGCATTCTCCTTGCCTTTGTGTTACCTTGTTGATGTGCATGTCACAGAGAATTTGTTACTAGTCTTATAAAACTGGTACCCTCGGCAGTATTAGGGTGTCATATTCAGGAATGTTGTGGGATAAAATAGGCCTCAGTGTTTGGGTCCAGGGACCTTAGCCCCATTTATAATATTGTTTCCTTAGGGAATGTGTTCTGAGTTCCAAACAGCTGGCTTATAAACTCATAAGTAGGGAAATATTCAAATGAGGACCTGAATATTGCTCTTTCCTTTACATATAATCTGCACAAAACCCTCACCTGTATTACCTCTTCAACTGATGTCTTCATTGTGAATCGGGATTTTGTGTTGTCTGTTATCTCAAGTGGGAAAAAAGCCATATGCCAAGCAGTGCACTGACTTCTCAGGAGTTCTCCTGAAACTGTCTGCCTGCTCCTGGTGTCTGGGTCTTCCCACTAGCCATGCGAGACCCTGTAGGACCCTGTAACGTTATGTCTGTATCCACCTGCCTTTGCCCAGGTGTATTCAGTACGAGGGCAGCACAGGTGATCAGTGATAGACATGGCAGCAGTTTGTGCCATGGAGGATATTTTCCTCCATGTCTCTGTGGAAAGCGTAGTAAAATATTGGAGCAAATAATAAACCTGTGTTTATCCAAGGCCAGAATACAATTTCTCAAGCACACAAGCCTAATAGAATTTCCTACCTTCAGAAAAGTCAAGTATTTCATCTCGATACAGTGACTTACAAATTGTTTTTTCTAGACTGAGCGCTCTATTTGAAGTAAACACAGACCTTCAAAAAAACATACTCTCCAAAATCACCGCCGAGCTCTCCTGGCCGTCCGT